AAGTAAAAGCTTAATTAAGATCATAATAACTTAGAATAGGGGACACAGAGCTTTTTCTGTAAAAGCCAGATAGTAAATATTTTAGGCTCTGTAGGCCATGCTGTCCCTGTCAAGTATTCAGTTCTGCGGTTGTTGTAGGAAAAGCAGCCAGAGACCATATGTAAACAAATGGGTGTGGCAAGTTGGGAAGAACCGACATCTTGGCAATGTTGAGTCTTCCTGTTCATGAGCATGGAATCTCTCTCCATTTATTTAGTTCCTTGATTTTGTTCATCAGAGTTTTATAGTTTGCCTCATACAGATCTTGTACATTTAAAAAAAAATTTATAACTAAGTATTTCATTTTGGGGGATGCTAATGTAAATGGTATTGTGTTTTTAATTTCAAATTTGACTCGTTCATTGTTAGTATATTGGAAAGCAATTGACTGTTATATGTTCACCTTGTATCCTGCAACCTAGTTTTTTGTAGCTAGTCTTCATCAAGTTGAGGAAGTTCTTCTCTATTCCTAGTTTACTGAGAGTTTTTATCATGAATGGGCATTGGATTTTGTCAAGTGATTCTTCTGCGTCTATTGATATGGTCATATGATTTGCCTTCCTGGGATAAATCCCTTTGTTTGTGGCATATAATTCTTTTTATACATTGTTGGATTCAATTTGCTAATATTTTATTGAGGATTTTTGCATCTAAGTTCATGAGAGATGTTGGTCTATAGTTTTATTTTTTCCTAATGTCTTTTTCTTGTTTTGCTATTAGTGTAATTCTGGCCTCGTAGAATGAGTTAGGAAGTATTCCCTCTGCTTATATCCTCTGAAAGAGATTGTAAAGAATTGTAAAGATTGTAAAGAATCCTTAAATATTTGGCAGAATTCACCAGTGAACCCATCTGGACCTGGTGCTTTCTGTTTTAGAAGGTTATTAATTATTGAGCTTTCTGTTTTTATTAGTGTTATGGCCTGTATGCAGAAACTGATCTGTTTGTAGGTAGTTGATACTAAAGAATAATTTCCAAAGAGTTTAAAAATAAGATTCTCAAAATTATAAAATAAACATGTCAGCAGTTTTATTTAACTCATTATTTTGTTTTCTTTTTTTTTTTTTTAATAACAGCAAGGCATTTTGTAAATTCTTTTTTTTTTTTTTTAAAGATTGGCACCTGGGCTAATGACTGTTTCCAATCTTTTTTTCTTAAGGATTGGCACCTGGGCTAACAACTGTTGCCAATCTTTTTTTTTTTTTTCTGCTTTATCTCCCCAAACCCCCCAGTACATAGTTGTATATCTTAGTTGCAGGTCCTTCTAGTTGTGGGATGTGGGATGCTGCCTCAGTGTGGCCTGACGAGCAGTGCCGTGTCCGCGCCCAGGGTCCAAACCCTGGGCCACCACAGCGGAGCGTGCAAACTTAACCACTCGGCCACGGAGCCGGCCCCTAGAAAATTTTTTGATTATAGATTATCTACACTCTTTTGCATTCTCCCAATGAAATGTTGTCATAAGTGTTTTTCATGTTATTAAAACTTTTTTTATTGTGGTAAAAAACATAAAATTTACCATCTTAACCATTTTTAAGTGTACAGTTCATAGTGTTAAGTATATTTACGATGTTGTGAAACAAATCTCCAGAACCTTTTCATCTTGTAGAACTAAAACTATACTATTGAAATAATTCCCCTTTGCCCCCTCCTCCCAGCCCCTTGAAACCACTGTTCTAATCTCTTTATCTATGACTTTGACTACTTTAGATACCTTATATAAGTGAAATCATATAGCATTTGACCTTTTATGGCTGGCTTATTTCACTTAGCATCAGGTCCTGGAGGTTCATCCATTTTGTAGTGTGTGTCAGGATTTCCTTCCTTTTTAAAGCTGCATAGTATTCACTGTATGTATACTTCACGTTTTGTTTATCCTTTCACCCACTGATGGACATTTGGTTGCTTCCACCTCTTTGCTATTGTGACTAATGCTGCTGTGAACATGGGGGTGCAAATATCTCTTTGACACCATGCTTTCAGTTCTTTTGGATCTAGACCTAGAGGTGGGATATACCCAGAGGCTGCATCATATGTAGTTCTACTTTTAATATTTTGAGAAACTGCAATACTATTTTTCATAGCAACTGTACCATTTTACATTACCACCAACAAAAGTGCACATTGTTGCCAACATTTATTATTTTATTTTATTTTTTAAAGATTTTACTTATTTCCTTTTTCTCCCCAAAGACCCCCTATACATAGTTGTATATTCTTAGTTGTGGGTCCTTCTAGTTGCGGCATGTGGGACGCCGCCTCAGCATGGCCTGATGAGCGGTGCCATGTCCACGCCCAGGATTCAAACTGGCGAAACCCTGGGCTGCCAAAGCAGAGAGCAGGAACTTAACCACTTGGCCATGGGGCTGGCCCCATATTTTGTGTTTTTTTGATAGTAGCCATCCTAATGGGAGTGAGGTTATTAAAACTCTTAATAAACTTCTTAGATGGCTGCATTTATTTCCATTTTATGTGCAGTATAGGTAATCATTTTCTTAATGTTTTCCCATTAAAATTATTATGAACATCTTTTTCTTGTTTCAGATTATTTTCTTAGGATACGTTCTTAGAAATAAAATAAATGAGTCAGAGTATATAATTTTAAAGTTTTTTGTAAGTACTGCCAAATTATCCTCAAGAAAGGCTTTGCCACTTGACACTGTAACAGGGTATTAAAGCATCTTTCATTTCACCCGTATCTGTGTTGAGTATTATTATCTTACAATTATCTGTGATTGAACCACTGGCAAATGCTATGACATTGTATTTTAATTTGCATTTTAAAAATTTGTTAAATAGAACTTTTTTCTCCAGGCCATTTCCATTTTTCCCTTCTCAGATGGCCTGTTTGCCCATTTAAGTCTCAAAGTTTTACAGGTCATAAAAGAGATTAGTTAGCAATGCAAATATGAAGCTACCAGAACTTTTCATAAATATAGTAAACAATCATGAAAACCATTAGAAGGGAACTTACGAGATCTCCAGGGGTGTTTAAAATGACCTAAAATATTTCTCTGTGATTGAGGGTCTCTGTCTGCAGATTTGCATAATTAATTATCCTAATAAGTCCTTTCTTCATTATCTGGAGGGAAACTTTAGGTCAGTCAGCTCCTGTCATTTTATGACCAGTTTGCATTTCCTGGCGTGCCTCGGTGGCTTCTTGATGTGGCTTTTCCGCTGATAGTGAAATAGCTACAGAGAGGGCATTTCTGAAGGCGGAGAGAACAGGCAGATGATATATAGTTTTTCCATTGGCCCGAACATGTTTGGAAGACTAGGAGGTAGAACAATGAAATAATCCAAATATTATGAGGAGGGAGGCAGAAGTTTACATTAGAGTGGTTTATGTGATAAAAGAAATGTTATACCCAGTACTTTCTGTTTATAAATGATGTCTTAAAACAGATACTCAAATGTTTAGCTAAAATATTTAAAGCATTGCCTATACAGCCCCTACTATTACAAAAATGCCGTACGCATCACAGTCTGATTGTCTTCATGTCACTATGTCATAAGTCAGTATTGGGGGGGAAATGGGTTTTCTCCTACCTTAGTGCTTTAGGTTTTGTTCTAACTTAAACAGAATAATCCTCTTCCAAGCTAGAGAGAGAGGTTCATGTTTTGAAACTAATTTTAGATGGTTATGGTAACACAGTAATAGAATATAATGTAGTGTTTCCCACCACATTTTAGAGAAGACCACTATAATCATGGTTCTGTTCACTGTCTTTTTTTTTCTGGGACTCTGTTTTGAGGTGCTGCAGCTGTCTGTCTTCATTTAAGAAGTAACAAACAAACAAGACGAGAACACATCCTGTGGAGCTTTCTGGTGAGGCAGGTGGCGGCAGCTAGTCCCTGTGCCTTAGTTGAGGAGATGTGGTTCGACACAGGGGCGTAGTGGCTGTTACGAGAGGATTTCAGTGCAAAAGTGACCTTCTTCTTCCTGAGACATCAATTCATGTCTTCCCAGCCTGGAAGAACGGATATTTCTTCCTAGCTCATTTGTTAGTTCCTAGACAGCATTCACATCACAGGTGGTTTGGCTCATTATAAAATTGACTGATATAGCAGAATTTCAAAGAGTACCAAATGCCTTTCCGAGACTCAGATACTTCACACGTTCCATGGACAAATGACACCTCCAATGTAAAAGGGACCATCATATTTTTATCTTAATTTTCTATAATGTTTTCTTGACTTGAAATAGCAAAATCTTTTTAATGAAATGTCCTTAATATGAAACAGAATAGCGATTATAAAGCCTTTTATTCTGTGGCTGGTAAAGTTCTAGACTAAAAGTATTCAAACGTACTTTTCTTGTTAATGATAAGGACTTCCGTACTATTTTATGAATTTACCTAAAAAACTGATTTAAGAAATATAAAAGATTGTCATTTTCAGATTCAGCCATTCCCTTTTAATTCTTATTATAAAAGAGTTAAGTGGTATATATGACTGATGGATTCGTGTTTTATAACTTACTTTTTATGTAGGTTTCATTTTTTTTTAAAGGTGTTGGTCCTAAATGGTCCTACCGAGATTAGCAACAATTATTTGGTTTGTGTTTACTGAGATTCTCAAACATATAATTTATCTTGTTCTGTTCTGCTGAAAAAACACTTTTAATACCCAGGCTTGAAAATGACGAAGTATAGGTCTGTATTATAGCAATACTGCTATAATTTATTTAGAACAATTACCCAGTTGACAGGCATGAACTTTTTTGAAGTGGAATTTTTTTTTATAGTATTAGATGGAAAGCCCTTATATTATCAGTTGTCCCAAGGAGAACTAATACAAGTAATTAAGTCAAAATTTCAAACCACACATTATGGCTCATGTAGAAAACTCTCCAGTGAGGGAACACAGATTCTTTAGCCTGCTATCTACTTGCATGACTTTGGCCCACAATCTCTTGGGCTTCAGTTCCCTCCCATGTAAAATGGAGAGGTTTGGATTAGCTCACCTGTTCTGATGGATTTGTTGTCTCCAGTGGCTTCTAAAGGAGTCTAACATTCACTGTCTGAATTGACCCTGGAAGTTCTGCATCAGAAATTAGGATGACTCCTTAGACCTGGCAAAATGGAAATCTGGAATGAGTGATTCGCCTAATAATAAATTTAGTGGAATGACAGAATCAGAGTTAGAACTCAGCCCTCCACTAACCATCACATCTTAGATGATTGTCTGGCATAGCCCTGGATGTCAGATACGCGTGTCCCTCCCCCACTTCCTATTCCCTCCACAGCTGTGGCAGACAGTGTTTATCTAATGCTTATCTAAGGTGACATTTCTTTCCTACCCAGCCTGGACACGGCCTCAGAATCCTTCTAAAAGCAGCATTCTAATAGCCACAGCTAGTAGAAGGGAACCTAACTAGTTTGATATTGTAGGTAGTAGTGTCTTTAAAATAAAAAAGGGCACTGTCAGTTTTTTTAAAGAAGATTTACCTTTATTGTTTAATTCAAGTGGAATATTGTTGCTTTGTCTTTAGCAGTGGTTCCCAATGTGATGATTCCTTTTTAATTTTAAAAAAATTATAGATTCCCACATGCTCATGAATTCAAGTAGCACTTTAAATGCATTTCAGTTTTATTAATCACAGCATATAAATTCATTTGGAAAAATGGGCAGACATATCTATGTAAGACATTTACATCCTTATGAAAGAAGGACCCCCTGTAATACCTTTGCCACCTCCCCCCCCGCCCCCCAGCCCCACCTACCAAGAGTCAGGCATTAGAAACCATTACTCTATATACCACTCTGACTTTTTTTTGGTTTCAGTTTGAATTTTTTCAGTAAGATTGAGTTTTAGTTTTAAGAGATGTCATCAGTGGTTTTCATGGTATGTGCTGTTGTGTCCCGATTCCAGGAGGAGCCTCAGGGGAGAGCCCCACCCCCCAACCCCACACCCATTCCAGCTTTCACCAGCCTGTCTGCTTGGAAGTCTTCTATATACTGGGGTTCTCCATGAGAGAACCATCATTTGGATAAAGGGTTCACAAATTTAAAAAGCCCTGAAAACTCATGATACTCCCACTTTCCCATTTTTATACAGTGTTTCGGGGTTACCTTATTAGTTAACAGTGGAGCCAGGATGAAGACCTCGATTGTTTGGTTGCAGGCCACTCTTCACCCCCTACCCGAGCTGCTATTCACAGGACCAGTGGAGGATGTCAGCTCGCCAGCTGGGAGTCAGCACATACTTATATGGAAAGAAAAATTGTTTACATTGTAATACCAAGAGACTCAAATCTCTTTCCACCCTTGAATAAAAGTTTATGTGGTGTCCGTGTTTGCAAATGTTTGCCTCGTTTGGGTGTGGACTTCTCTCACTGCTTGGGGTGGGTGGAGGGATGGTGAAGCTTTTTTTTTAAAACTTAATTTTATTTTAAAACGGTAAAGAGTGATGCCGTGGGCAGAAGACTGTTTCATTTCCCTTTTCTCCCTGTGCTGTGCCACTTCCTATTGTGTTTGTGACATGCTCTGCTTTGTCAATTTAAGCACTGTCCTAGCAGAGTATCCGGTCTCTTTCCTGGATTTTGCTGTCTGATAAGACAACCTCAGGGCTCATTTCTCTGTGGTGGTCACCTATTGTCTGTATTAAATCAATATGCCATCAAGATACCCAAGTAGGATGCTTCATGTACCCTGTCTGGGCTACCTTTTTTTTGCCTGGGGTCTCAGCAAGAAGCCAGATATCCCTCCGAAGCTCGCTGTGATTTCTAGGACTTGCTCACGTTGGTTTACCTTGGGTGTCTGGGCCTGTGAGTGATCCAGGATAGGTGGAGGGATGTCTGGTGCCAGTTTGCGGAGGGTGCTGTGTAGACCTCAGGTCCATCCCTGGGTGTGGGGTGTTAAGTGTTTCCTGTTCAGATTCTTCCTCGTTGGCAGGGCCCAAGCAGTGCTGGCTGCCCCCACAGACCCCTGACAGGCTCTTGCTTCCTCACCTCCTCAGAAAGCTCATCTCCTAGTGTGGGGAGGCTTTTCTGTTAATGCCGAAAAGCCACACACTTCACTTCAGTCAATAGTTTCAACCTGCTTCTTTCTCACATATTTTAACAGATCTGATGATGGGAAACTGGAATGACTTTCTCTGGTCCAGCTCACTTTTTACTAAAGACGAAGAGCCAAAAGTTAGGAAATAAAAGGAAGAAAGAAAAAAAGAACATAGGAGAGTCTTACTTCAGAAAGCTGATTATTAGTGGGGCTGGCCTGGTGGCACAGCAGTTAAGTTCACACATTCTGCTTCCGTGGCCTGGGGTTCGTGGTTTGAATCCCGGGTGCGGACCTACACATCGCTTATTAGCCTGTCCCACATATAAAGTAGAGGAAGATGGACGGGGATGTTAGCTCAGGGCCAGTCTTCCTCAGTAAAAAGAGGAGGATTGGCAGCAGATGTTAGCTCAGGGCTAATCTTCCTCAAAAAAAAAAACAAAACTGATTATTAGACAATTGAGCAATAATTATCTGCCCTCTTTGACAAGAGCTATTTCCCTCTTATCCATCAGCCCTCCAGCAGACCTTGTTTTCTTTCAGAATGAATTAGGATGGCTAATTGCAAGTACTTTGTCCACCTGAGGAAAGACTGTATGGGAGCTTAGTTATCATAGCACATCACCAGCAACACTCTAGAGAAAGACTCACTGAGTCCCCTTCCAGGGGCAAATGTGGTGAGTAACAATGAGTTTGAAGGGCCCTTAAAGTATGTATGAACTTAATGTGCTTTGGTGGGAAATTTCCCTAATGGTAACTTGGTTTCCTTTCCATGGCAAATTAGAAACTGGGAGGTGTTAAAATGTACACCGCTCCTATCTGTGTCACTGGAATCGATTAACTTGCTGTAATCACAACCGGAGTAACTACCTGGTTTAAGTAAAAAGAACAGGAATGTAACCTCAAAGATTATTACCCAGAAGCTGTTTTAAAAGGGCATCCTTAGAAATCTGAGTAAGATCTGTAGTCGAGTTAACTGTGTATGTCCATGTCAATTTCCTAGTTTTGATAATGTGCCTTGTTATGTAAGATATTACAGTGGGGGAAGCAGGGGACTTTTCTGTACTTTTTTTGCAGTGTCTTATGAGTCTATGATTATGGCAAGATAAAAAATTTTAAAAAAAGATACCTGAGAAGAATAATTCTCACTCAGGGTGAGACATTGCAGGTCTGACTTCCTTTGCTCTGTTCTTCCCTGCCTCTCTCCCTCCTTCCCTTCTTTCCTTAGCTTTATTCACATACATTTCACATACGTAAAAGTCACCTATTTTAGAGTACAGCTCATTGTTTTTGTAATAATTCGTTGGCTTATTCACAGAGTTGTGCAACCATCACCACAATCTAATCCTAGAACATTTTCAACTCTTCAAAAAAGGTGCTCCATACCCATTAGCAGTCATCTGTGACCAGCACCCCCCGCCCCCGCCAATGCCTGGCAACCATGAATCTGCTTCCTGTCTACAGGGATTGGCCTATTCTGGATATTTAATATTAATAGAGTTAAACAATACATCAACAGCCTTTTGTGACTGGCTTCTTTCATTCAGTATAATATTTTGTTTTTTTTGGAGGAAGATTAGCCCTCAGCTAACTACTGCCAGTCCTCCTCTTTTTGCTGAGGAAGCCTGGCTCTGAGCTAACATCCGTGCCCATCTTCCTCTAGTTTATACGTGGGACGCCTACCACAGCATGGCTGCCAAGCAGTGCCATGTCTGCACCCGGGATCCGAACCAGCGAATCCCGGGCCGCCGAGAAGCGGAACATGCGAACTTAACCGCTGCGCCACCGGGCCAGCCCCCAGTATAATATTTTTAAAGGTTCATTCATGTCATAGTGTGTATCAGTATTCAATTCTTTTTTATTGCCAAATAGTATTCCATTTTATGGATATACTACATTTTGTTTATTCATGCATATTTAAGGTTGTTTCCACTTTTTGGTTATTATCAATAATGCTGGTGTCAACATTTGCGTACAAGTTTTTGTGTGAACATGTGTTTTCAGTTCTCTTGGGTAAATACCTAAGCGTGGAATTGCTGTGTCATATGGACAGTCTGTGTTTAACGTTCTGAGGAACTGCCAGACTGGTTTTCAAAGAGGCTGCACCATTTTATTCCCACCAGCAATGAATGAGGGTTCCAGTTTCTCCACATCTCGGGTGTTTTTTTTAAACACTGTGTTTTTGTTGTGTTTAGGAAATATTTCCTCATGTCTTGGTGGGTGTGGGAGCAGGGAGCTGAATGATGATTTTGGAGGAAATGAAACAAAATCAAATAAATTATTTTCAGATTGGCTCAGTATAGCTCTGGAAACCTTTCAGCCCTGATCCTACAATCCTTCCTGTTTGACTGGATATGACATTACCAGAATTTTACTTTCCTGGAGAAAAACGAAATATGCCTTTTCCTCAGCTAGATGTGGAGGGTTCAAGCAAAGATAAAGGACCCCTGAGTTACTGATAATTCCACGGGAATGGGTACTTGGTTTGTGCCTAGAACAGTTTCTCTAACATCGTTCTCTTGATGTTTCTCTGGGGCCGTTCTCCACCTAAGTGTAACATAAGAGCTGAATCAAGGTTTGTTTAGTCACTGCTTGGAAAAGAAACGGTGACTGGATACTGGTCAGCTGGCTGGGGGCTGCTGGCAGGCCTGCCACAGACCATGCTTTCTGCAGGCCACGGCCTCTCCGGCTTGTTAAAGGCCTGCACCAGGCAGTGGGGTTTCCATTTGCCCTGCCTGAGCGCAGGATAACAGGGCTTTCATAATCCCCCATGGCAGTGGGCAGGCAAGTCTGGAGGTCTTGGAAGTGGCCCAGGACACCAGGGGAAGGCATGATCCCAGCTCCTTGCCTTGCGTCGCCAGCTTGAGGAGTAGGCTAGGACGAGGGTTGGGGGTAGGTAGGGGAGGGAACACCAAGAAATGTTGTTTCTTAGTTCTGGTACATAGGTATGATAACTCCCACTGTCTTCTCTCCACTACTGTTTATTTTTGGTCATATATTGGCAATCAGATTATTTTGCCTGCAGAAACCACACTATAACAGAAAAGGCCTGCCTCTTATGACAACTTTATGAATGGTGTTTGCAAGTGTAGATTCTCTCCAGATTTTCCTTCACACACTCTCACACCTGCAGCGTGAGCCTCTGTCGCTCCCCTTGTGAGTGGGGCTCTGTAGACACAGGTAGGGTCAGAAGGTGAGTGCTGGTCCCTACGGCCTCTCCAGCCCTGTTTTAGCTGACTTCTCCTTTAGTGCTGTCTAGTCGTACCTCCTCTGACTTCCCAGAGTCTTTCTCTGAAATGCCTTACTTTAATCAGGAGAGGACCCCATATTTCTACCCTGTCTCCATTAAGAACTCCCCATCTCAGGCACATTGTATCAAAGTCAGTGTTATCTCTGTCAAATCAATATCTTCTGTTAAAGTGAGGTTAGAGGTGTGTATGGATAGCTGCCTATTTGTTACACCCGTGCAAATTGTCTACCCATTTTATTAAGCCTGTATTTCATAGATTAGGAAAATCAAGGATTTTTAAGTACATCCATTTCAAGGGTCAATTTCATATCACCATGAAGTACTGAAATCCTTTAAGATTAGAGTAACTGTTGGTGTGTTTTCTGTTGGCCAACCCGTTGTGTTGTTTCTCTAGTAAGTAATGTATTTGGCTTAATGATTTCAATTAGGACTCTAGAATTGAATTCTAAATATATATGTAAAACATACTTACTTCTTTTGACTTGTTTGAGGCCCAGCCATGCTTTGACCAAATTGAGAGTTCATAGTTCCTTCCCAACTTCCCCAAATGGGAATTTCCACAGTTTTCACTTTTGTTAAATGGAGTTTGATACACATTTGTTCATCTGGTATTGTGTTTGACCGGGTCTTGGGAGAAAGAGAACTGTCTGAAAACGCCAGTTCTCGCGTGGATAGGGGGTGGAAAGCTGCTCTTCCTAACCTGCATGCACCTTCTGTATGACTCACCTCAGTGGACTCAGAGAGGCAGCCTGTCTGACCTGCCAGCCTCAGGACCAGCTCCCTGTGAGTGTTTGTGACTGGTTTCTAAGGAGGTAAGGATTTGTCGAGCATCAGTCACCAGGACACCTCATACAGCTACCTTCAACCCGAGTCCTGGAAGTGGATTTATCCCACATACAGCTTACCCGTAGAAAATCGTCCTTTCAGCTCCTTGTGACATTTTCGCCTTTGATGGGCTCCTGATTTTATCCATGGTTTGTAACTGGAGTTATGAGTAAAAGTCTGAGATTTGATTCTTCTAAATAAACATGGACTGTGCTGTCCAGTATGGTAGCGACTAGCCCTGTGTGGCTATTTAGGTTATAATTAATTACAGTTAAATAAAAAATTCAGTTCCTCAGTCACCCTAGCCGCATTTAAGAGCCTCATTAGCTGCTTGGGGCTGGTGGCTGTTCTGTTGGACAGCGCAGAGAGGGAACGTGTCCGTAGTCAGAAAGCTGGCTGACTGTAGACTTCCCTTACGCCAGAAGGTCCAAGCAAGGCACCAATCACAGCAAAGCAAAAGCTTTGCTTAGGTGAATTCAGGTGCTGGAAAGTCGCTGCCGCCTGTCTCTAGTCAAAATGAGAAAAGCAAGTGGACCTGCCATTTGTCCTCTGGTTTTTCTCTGGGCACTGTCTCCTTGCTTCCTTGGTATAGTTTTCTTTCCAAAGGGGTGTGAATGTCCAGTAATCAGACTTGCTCATATTCAAATGCAAGTTAAATATTCTGAAACAGTATATAAATAAGTTATTATCTGCCCTCCCCTTCCATTAGAACCAATACTTCTAGTTCTCTGTCCAGAAGAAAGATGAAGGTAAATTAAAATTTTACCAAGATCCGATTCTCACTGTTGGCCTGTTTTGTAACAGCACACATATGTTTGAGTTTCATCTTATTTGGGCTTTGTGTTTTTAGGGGTTAGATTTCTTTTTGGTTTAAATGTATGTCTATTGGCTTTGAGTTCTTTGGAGATATTTTTAAGACTGGATATTTGTTAACTATATCCACCTTGAAATTTGAATTCACAAGTTATAAATTTGCAAAGAGAAGAATTTGGCACAAATCTCCCCTTCTCTCAGCCCTCCACGTGAGACTTGAAGTTGTTAATGCTTTTGTGTGACCTGATATCCTAGGGTTGAGACTGTATACAAGCCATATGACATAGGCACACAATGTGTTAGCTCTCCAGCAAGCTTCTAGTAAATGGACAGAGGAGTGGCAATTAACTGAAAGACCTTTCCTAGTCAATGTGAGCATTGTTTCTT